GTGGAGGAGGGCTCTCTGCCCTGTGTTCGACCCTGGCCAAGGGTGCTTGTGCGCAGCGTTGTAACCTCCACCGTTAATCCATACTTAACCTCATTCCTAACGCCGGCGGTACTCTCAGAAACCCGAGGCAGATGCACACATATTGGCTCCTCGAGGGGGTCAGCATCGTTTGCGGATGAGGCCACTACTAAATGTAGGTGGTCCCCTCGATTCCCAGCCTCAGCTGCTTTTCCGCCACTGACGGGAGGAACAACCTGAATGGAAGGCCCGTCCGTTGGAGTCATCGGCCGATTCTCCCTGCCGGGGCGGCGACCACCACGTCTGGCGTCTACCTTATCCTGACCTGAGGCGCTCGCTGGGTTCTCCAGACTTTTCCCCGTTCGGTCAGGCGGGGGTGTCAGAGGTGGACTGGCCCCTAGGGGTTCATTGTCCATCGCTGGCTGTGTAGGACGGCGGAAATCCCCTCCTACGCCGTTGGGGTTTGGCGATTCTTCATTCTCAGTTCCTTCTACTGGTAACGCAGTGAAAAAGTTGATATATTGTTCGAACGGTGTACCTACATACATAGTATAAGTCCGGCTATTATTACAAGAGTGCGTACCAGAGGAAACTGAGTCCTTTGCCGACGCCATCAAATCGCTTACTTCGACGCCGGCTCGTCTTTTGACGACTTCTCTTCCTTGACCTCCTTGACCTTGGTATCCTTTCCCAATTCTTCCTTCTCTGCTTCTGCGAGTAACTGACGGAGGCACTGGACGTTGGGCTTTTTACGAGGTGGGAGTTTGACGGGGAGCCACTTCGACTTGTCGGTGGGGCATTTATGATCCCGTTTCCATCCAGTATTTCCACACTTGAAGCAGCGCTTGTCGGCCCAGAGTTTGTCGATCTCCATTGGCTGTCCTGCTCCACCGTACGTAGTCCCCGTGGTGTCCTTCTTATTGCTGCTGGAACCCTGCCCCTTTGATTGATTTTGATTGCCTCGACCCGAACCACCTTGGTTCGAGGAGGTCTTACTGGCGAGACCTTGGGCCATGTCATATCGATAATTGGCGTCGATCCGTAGGACTCGCGCCTTCCACTGCGCGTAGGTTGTGGGGCGCTCATTGTCCCCATGCATAACCGTTTTGCGCACCGTCGGCCTGATTGCCACTTCCACTGCTTCGAACATCTGCTTCTCATCTTCGAATTCCTCGCACTTGTGGGCTAGACGTTCAAATTTAGCGAAGAATTCCACCGCGGATTTAAAATTGGACTGGCGGGTCTTCTTCCACTCCTGCTTCCATATGGCCAACTCGGCGACCTCGCGGAACTCCCTGGTAAGGTCGCTGGAGAACTCATCCCACGTCAGGAACCTCCAGTGCCCCTGCGGAGTTCGGTACCGGTAGTATTGGTCGACCCACCACTGCTGAGCGTCCCTGCATAGATACGATTGGGTGAAGGTGATCCGGTAGGGATTCTGTCCTTCGTCGTTCATCGTGTAGTACATCGGGAAGACCTGGAAATACACTTCACAGTGGTGTAGGAAGCGGGTAATGTCCGATGATACCCCGAAGAAGTATTCTGGCTGTGTGATCAACTTGGGTTTTACATCATTCCACGGGTTGTTGGTAGCCCTGGGAGCCAGGTTCCAGGGTGGAATTGGGTCTGGCGGTGGTGGCGCATTCAGTGGTACGGGCGGCTTAGGGGGCCTCGACAGCGATCGCAGGTGGTAATTTTCGTCGGGGGGCGGGTAGCCTCCCGGATATTTGTGCGGTGGTACAGTAGGCGGCCGTCTAGGTACTGCTGCTTCCTTCCCCTTGGAGGTCCCGGCCATGGGTTCGTCCCATGGCTCCTCGGGCCCCGCACCTGCCCAGAACTCTTCCGTCTCGAGCGGATTGGGCATTGGCTGTGGCCGTCGATAGGGTTCGCACCCCAGTCGCTGATTATCGGGATTCACCTGGTTCCATACCAGGGCGGCTCGGTGCCATGTTTCCACTTCCAGGATATTCTTCATTAGGTACACATCCCCCATGTACTTTGCGTGGCAATAATCCTCTCCCGCTTCCGTAAGAAGCCACTGGGAGTCCTTCTCCATATCTTCCATCATTATTTCATAAAGTCCGTGCCATGGTAAAATTTTAAAGATTGTGGGCGGAGGAGCCAGAGGATCGACCAGGACCGTTCGGACCGCTCCCATCACCTCGCTTTCGAGGGAACTGTTTGGCGGCCGACTCGGCATCCTCGGCCTTCTTCCTCTCTCTGGCGAGTCGATCGATCTCCTGGTTCCTTCTCCAGCGCCCGATGTCGGAGTCGGGGTCACTAATCTCCGACTCGTAGGACTGCCAGGCTCGTCGGCGGGCTTCGAGGTCTGTTCCTGCCTGCTCGGCGAGTCCAGAGTACCAAAGGGCAGCTGCTTGCTGCCTGTTCTCGATCTCGGCGTGAGTGGCGTCCGGCTCGATGGGGAGGTCGTGGAAACCGTTGGGCCCGACGAGGGCGGCGATTTCGGCACGTTGAGTGCATGCGTCTGTCGCTCTTGCTCGGTCCATTCAGGCCTCGATTTCTGGGGACTCCTGGGCATCTCGAGGGAGGTCGAGCGACTCGACGAGCGTGTGGTAGAGAAGCGTCCATGGACACTGATTGACAGGGACGGGGTCAGCGAATGCTCGGCCCGCAACCGAGGGTGTAAAGGGGATTGGGGCGAGGTCTCCGGCCCCGGCAATCGCTCCAAGCTCCTCCGCATTGTAGTCCGGGAACTCATCCCAGAGCTGCTGATCCGTCAGTTCAGCCCTGGCGACGGAGGCAGCGGGCGTTGGACTCTCTGGGTGCTCAGGGATAGAGACGCTCCTTGAGGGCGTGATTCCGGCCATAGGAGTCTCTTCCCCTGGCTCAGCATAGACCCAGCTGGTGCTTGGGTGCCAACCAACTGGGGCTCCCCTGTTTGCCGGCCAGTTAGGAAGAACGGGTCCTGCCCCATCTGGACGGGTGGTAGTTGCGGCGGAGGCCCCAAGGGTAAGCTCTCCGGAATCGCTGTCGTAGTCGTCTTCCTGGGCAACTCTGTACCTCCTGCTTTCACTTCCCCAGTCGGCGTCTGTCCACCTTGTCCCGGACCTCCCACTATAGGTGTCTCCAGGTATAGGTCGCATCTTCCTCCTCGTTTGGGTAGAGGTCGTCGAGTCTTGTCCTCTCCCAGTCAGTGAGGTCATCCCCTTCGTACTCAGTATCAGGGCTTTCTTCGCCCTCGACCAGAGGCCTGGTGTCTTGTCTTCGGGCTCCGTCGGTGCTTGACTCGCCTTGGACTGGAGACTGGTCGAAGAGACCTGGTAAGGGCAAGTCCCTTCGGTCGAGGAATATGCCCCGGGTATCGGTGATGTCGACTGAGTCAGCTGATTCGTTGGTAGCGCTTCTGTAGGAGTCGGTGCTCGACTCTGAGGATCGCGAGTTGAGTCGCGACGATCCGTAGAGGGATCCTCCAGGTTCCCCAGAGGCATCGGATTCGACATCTCTTATCGTCTGTTGAGATGCCATGGGAATGTGAATTATCAGAGGAGGGTAGGCGGGAGTGCTGGGAACGTAATGAAATGGGAGTTGTCCGCGGACTCGCCTCTGCTGTCAACAACAGCGGTGTAGTCGGTACAAAATAATGGACAAGAAAAAGAGTATAAAAGTCGCGAAGACGGCGGGAATGGTGTCGGACCAGGGCATCCGTTATCAGGATCTATTCTGCGTATGCTCTGAGAACAAGGACCGACCATACGGTCTGGTAGACAGCAAGAATGGTGAGGATGATGAGGACAGCGATGATGAGGCTGAGGTCGGTTTCGTAGTTGGAACCGTTCATCAGCAAGATCTCGCTAGTATCAGAGGTGCTCGTCAATGTTACCAATACGATTGTTAACAGAGAGGCGAGCTGGAAGAGGAGGATGAAGGGGTTCATTTTTCTAGATCCGTAGAAGGCCAACGTAGGCCGCTACTAGCAGGCCTGCTAGTAGTGGTGCCGGGATGGTTGCTAGTACGAAGAGAGTAGTCACGAGGACTATGAGGACGACGGTGAGGATTGGGTCGGGTAGCACGAGCAGAAGAATCCAATTGGCTACTAGGAGTATAATGATGAAGGTGTAAATGTTGGGCAACAGAAGATGTTGGGCAATGGTAAGACGAGCTTTGGCTAAATGTTAGCCACTAACTCTCAAAACTTAGATCAACTAGGGATCGCCACTCGCACTTCGGTGGACGATACAATAGAGGTCAAAGTCTTGTGGGATGAGCAAGCGATGGGGACAAATAGTCACGGAGCGAGGAGCTTTGAGTTAGGTAGATTAAACCTTAGCTGAAGCTGGGGGTTAATCCAGCTGAGGCTCTACTTAAATACAAGTGAGTACGCTAATAATAGTACTGTGAGAAATGATCCGTAGGGATCACATATGCATAATCAGGCTGAGTAAGACGAAGAAAAGAAAAGAAATAAATAAATCGTAACACTTCTGTGGCACAAATATATCAGTGCCAGGCTGGATGATGTTCTCCTCAATAAGAAATGCATTGAACAGTCTCATGACTCTGGGCAAATGCGTTAGAAGAAAATCAGTAAGATATACTGGAAACTGGAACAGCAGCTCACCCCCGATATGCATCATCGGTGCCTTCTTTAACACCCTTCGATGCTTCACCAATATTGGCCATGACCTTGCTGATATCGCTCAGGTCTAGTTGTCCCCTATCACCATAGTCATTTGAATCGCCACAAGTCTCCTGCTTGCCCTCAATGTCATCTATGATCTCCAAATCTGATGATTTAGTCTTGAGAGCCTTTCAGATTCCTTCGGTGTTTTCAATACCATTAATTGCATGCATGTCCATATTGTATGAGAGGAGAAGGAGAGGATAGCAAGTCAAGCAAGGAAGACAAAGACAGACAAAGTCTATGATTCATATATATAGGAAAAGGAGTGGCTACTCCTATTTAAAATCCCTCATCATCTGTGCAAAACTCCAAGATTTCACCCCTTGCTGAATAACATACTTCAATCTGATACTTGGGAGATGCGGCGTGTTTCTGGCACTTCCTTGGAGTCACTTCTAGAAAGAGAAAACTAAGAACCAGCCACATACAGTATTGACAATGGGAGCCCTGCCTGTCATTTCCTTGCCACTCTCATCACTAGATATCTCTAAGACTGACACAGACCTGTTCAGTTCTGCTGAGTCTTGACTTGCATTCAGTACATTAGCAGAAGTCGAAGCTAGAGCATCATGTCAGTGGTTGTGAAAGGGATCTGACAAGCAGGGATACTTGACATACCAACAGGCTGAACAAGGCTAGGTTCAAGTTCGATGTTGTGACATCTTACTTGCTCAATATGTGGCTTTAGCGCTTTGTGCTTTCCACCAGTTTTGAGCATCTGGTGGTCCAAGATGTTTGGCCGTGCATGAAGGGCCAACACACAGGAAAGCCATATGTGAACTTCGCGTTTTTTGGCAAACTGATCAAGCTTCTTGGATGTGATGTCAGTATCATATATTCCATTGATTGCGGAGGTGATCTGAGTGAGGATTGCCTTGGGAATGACAAGAGATACAAAGATCTCTGACTGCAATCATTCCTGCTGATTAACACGAACAGCACAGACTTTGGAGATCATAGTGTGCTGAGAGATGCTAGTGTCATCAGCATGCATCAACCCCCATCGTTTGTATAAGTCTTGAAGCAGTTCACGGGTAGCTAATCCTGGAAAGACATGATTGCTGAAATTTTGTATGATGCCCGCTGAGTGCCCCCAAACAAAGAGCTCCTCGCATAGCTTTGCAAGGAGGGGTATGTTTGGTTGACACAGTGATGGAGCAGCAGGTAGATTCTCCAGTCCATTTGACTGGGACATTACCGGGTGAATGTATTGAAGGAGGACGGACACTTTTGGGAAGTCAAGAGGAATATGTGAAGCTAGCGAATGGTGCTGAGAATGAAGATGGCCGGCTCCCTGCTTTTCCAACATCGTACAGAGATCCTGACACCACATGGAGGCAACAGCAGCATAGTTGTCAATGCCAGATGCTTTAAAGGCATCAAATAGTTGTTCTCCGATGCTTGATTGCGCAATATCAATGGCAGTTCAGATGCCACATCCTGGAATTCCATTCTATAACATAAAAATGAGTTGACAGTGGTTGAGAAGACTGCACACCTTACATTGTAATCACCACCAGCAAGTAATGCAATCATTACGAGGTTGTTGTGGGAGAATTGGGATCTAACCTCATGTTCCTCAATGAGATATTCAGAGTCGCTCTCCTCTTTACTAGTGAATAAGTTTAGAAATAATCCTGATAAAGCACAATTGCTGCTGCTCACATTCGAACCACTCGCTGAGCACTGAATACCATAGTATCAAAATCCTCTGACATTACAGCATCAATTTGGCCAAGGTCTGAGAGCATTGCAAGCTCAGCCTCTGCTTCACCTGGAGCCTGGGTTTCATGTCAGAAAGAGAAATGTAAAAAGAAGGAGACCCTTACCTCCCAATACAGAAAACCAAATCCTTCAAGCAAGCACTTGAAGTCAGCAGTTAGCCAGTCTGACGTCTTGGTTACCTTTTTTTTTGTGCTTGTTAACAGGGTGACCTGGACCATTGAACATGAATAAAGGTATGACTGGGAGATGAAAAAGGCATCCCAGTCGCTTGAATAGCGAAGCCTGTGCTGGACTCTTTGTCTGCCCATGATGGTACTTTGTGGCAAACATCCATCCACTAGAAAATGAACATTCATGAGCTTCAATCTAAATGATAACCCTGTTAATAAACAGCTATCTAGCATCCATGCCTATACATGGGCCCAGGTTTTGTACTGTTCCAGTGGTGATCTTCTGGGCAGACCAGTCAACAAGTGACACTGACTCTACCGGGTTCAACAACTGCGAAAGAAAAGGTTAGATAGAGACTTGAAAATGCTATGAAAGGGGAATAAGCATACAGTCCATCTGCCTTTAACACCCATGGCAATAAGAGGAAAGAAAGCTATAGGGGATGTCTAGCCTAAAGTTACGAGAAACCATATATAGACCCTATTTTATTGATGAACATTGTCTGGAAGTTCTTCAGAGTAACAAGTAGATTTCATAATTGTATAAACATTGTTATAAAAGTTGTGATTTTGATATGGTTTAATACCAAGGATAACAGAAAGCCGATATCTGAAAGTGTACAATGTGACAAAGATTACAAACTGTGCAGTGAGCATAACTACATTTCACCCAGCCCAGTCAGAGGAATTCATCATGGTGCTCATGGAGCAGCTAGAAGACCAATCGTGCAAGCCATCCTGATGATGGAAAGGGTGGCAATGACTGGGCACCATAGTGAATGAAGAAAGTGAAAGAAAGGATAGAATTGTGAACAAATATGAGCAGCTGCTTCTGTAGATAAAGCCTGGACACAATCCATTGCATACGTAGGCTGCTCGAATGCAGCAAACAAGGCAGATGCTACAAGGGGGTAGGATGTCCTGTTCGAAGAGAACAGTATGCTAGTGCCAAAATTCTTGTGCATCTTTGTATGCAAGTGGGCAGGGCAGAGAAGATAAAGATTAAGCAAGAGAGAGAGAACCTGGCTCCGACTTGGTATTGCCAGATGGAGTAGCAGACGGTGGCTGGGCAGACATTGAGGGCTTCTTCTGCAGAGACTTCACCTCACCAGGAGTTAGAGGACACTGTGGAAGCAATGCAGGCATGGAAGGACAAGACGATAGCTGCGACATAGACTTTGCAGACCTTCTATCCTGTTGTATGTGGGTGTTTGATGACTGAGACTTGTTGCAACAGGACGAGTTTATCTACTACCATCCCGCCGACTCTGACATGAGACCAATATTGTCGAAGACGAAAAAAAAGCTAGAGGAAACAGTCATTGATGCTTCATGATGTAACATAATTCTAGTGGGATCAATGCACCCGACCTGACCTAGAAGAGGATGTGATGAGAATACAAAAAATATGGAAAGAAATTCTTTTTCATACCTCGACACAGATGTTGTCGGGCCAGTGGAGGCGGATTCCAGAGGTGCTATGCCCAAAGTGGTTGCTGATGGTAGTGGTGGCTCCGTCAACATTGGTGAATGTAACCAAGCTAGCGCCCACAGCACTAAGCTTCTTGACAACTCGATGAGGCCCTTTTGAAGTCGGTCTCCATGACTTTGGCTTTGGGATCGATCCAGGGTCTTGCCAATTACTCTGATGTGCATGCCGGTAATGAAACGTTGAAGACAAGTTGCTTGCAATCAGGTAAACCGCACTTGGGGGGCATAGATTCATACAATGAATTCCCCAGACATTCAAGACAGAGGTCGATGAGTCTCCCCTCTTTGTACATCATGCCTGTTGAGATGTCCATGTCAATAAGCATCCTGTCCATGGCAGGGCATACCGATTGGAAGTAGCCACACCATAATTGGAGATCGCATCTGATATTTAAAGTCTCCTGACTGGTGAAGAAGGACTGTACGTTGAAGGAATAGTTCAATGATGGCTCCATTCAAATAACGATGTTCAGAGCCTTGACATGATATAAGTAAGGATTGGCTGCAGAGACTTAGGCAAAGAGATGAACAGTGATAGCAGTCAATATGCTGTCATCGTGTGATTGATCTCCCTTCACGAAATGGTGTAGGACCCTATAGATTGTGAATCAGTCGTATGTGGATGAATCTGGACATCGAAAGACATACTCGGGATTGATCTCAGCTACCTTGGTGAGTCTGATCTTGTAGGCTTTGGGCACTGTCGTGGAGGCATCTGTAGGAGGGAGAATGATGCTAAACTGATGACACCATCATCATTATTGGAGAATCATGAAGGAAATGTTATCATACCTCCACATGATTTGCACTGCCAAATGGCAGCTCTCAAGCAGCAAATAGATTTTTATGCCTGTCATATACAGCACGAGGTGTAAAGATGGCAGATGCAATCATAATCTGGAGTTCCTTGATCAGCTCCATGTTCAAATGCGCAGGCAATGTTTTCTCAGAGGGCATGATAACTGTGGAAGAGATATCAAAAACTTGAAGTACACACAAACATGATCTCAAAAGGACATACCAACTGAAGAATGACACACAGAGGGTCAGAAGACAGTAAGGTATGATCAGACGTGCTACTTACCATCATAGTGGCAGATGATGCTCTTGGGTAGTGCTTTTTCTTGAGATTGGTGACAGTAGCCCAGTCATCAGGAGAATCGGAGGCAACACTGGTGACTATGCCAGTACCTTTAGTGGCAAGAACACCATCCATCGGTAGATGTAGACACCCTGGGTGTAGATGCCATGTCAAAATACGAGCACAAGGTGAGGGGGGGAACCAAGACACAACTCGTTTAGCCTATGTACGTCGACATGAAGGTAAACGGTAAAGAAGGAAAAGGAATTGAAAATGGTAATGAAAGGTATTGCCAGGTACGACTGATGTGCATGACTTGTACAGCCACATATTCCAATACATCCCCTCGAGTCTAGGAATCGTACGGAGTATCAAAAACGTGCATCCCCTCAAATTGCGATGTTCTCCCTTCCTTCATTGGAATCAATGTCTGATCCATCAATCGCTCCAATAATGACATGTGCCTCATCCATGGGCTCGCTTGGAAATCCTGACTGGTGGTGACCATGTTTTGAACCATGTTGAACCATGACGTCTCCTCTCTTCACCACTAGCAGCCTTGCAACTGCTGCAGCAATGTCTGCCATCATCGCCTCGTTGTCAGAATCCTTCCCAGCTTCATCGTCGCTGCTATCCATCCCCTTCTTCTGACACTTCTGTTTGGTGAACTCGTTGAGACAGTGAGAGATGACGTGCTCCTTGTCATCATTCTGTAAGTCTGATTCAAGACCACTTTTGAATAATTCCCAATCAGAGGTATTGAGGAGAGAATGTAGGAGTGTGGAAATGAATTTCGAGTTGGACAGTTTGTCCTTGAAGAAACACTCAAGTTCATCAGATAACTCACATAGTGTGGCGATGTGATCCACCATAGCAGTCGCCTTCGACATCTTCAACTTGTCAAACTGGTCCCACAGCACAGTCTATGCACTGAGACCATCAGTTGAGTTTATTGCGACAAGCCGATCCCAGATGGCTTTCAGATCATTACCCAACTGGCAAATGTACTGGAGCTGCTTTCTACCAATCCTCTTGAATCATCTCCACCTTGGCTTGACTAGCATTCGTATTCTATGTCTTCACCTGCTTCGATCTGGGAAAATCTGCCAGCCTGGGTTCATTTCCATTGACAAGTGGCTATAGCTGTTTGCCTTCAAGAATGGATTAGGTGATGAACTTCCAGTCATCGAGGTCATCTGAAGAGTTGAGAACAAGATTTTGGCCATCGGTGTGAGTCATGATGGGGGTTTGGATGGACTAGAGTGCCACGGCCTTCGGGAGCCAATGCTTGGGTGATGAAAATGAATACAGTCGTCAGTAAAGAAGGAAAAGGAATTGAAAATAGTAATGAAAAGTACTGCCGAGTATGACTGATGCAGATGACTCATACAGCCACATACTCCAATATGCCATATGTAGCACTCACTTTGGTGCCAATGAGATCCCAACCCTCTACTTCTGCAAGTTGCTCAAGAACGCCATGTTGCTTGGTAATTTGTGGGAGTATCGTGTTCCTCATAGCACAGTGGGTGTATAGCAAAAATGCGAGAACAAGGCACGCAGCATAGGTGGCTAGATATCAGATGATCCACTCTGAAGCAAAAAGAGATGAAGCTATTCAAACTTTGTCTGTAAATTAATAAGCATCCAGACAAGCCCATAATGAGTGCATCAAACCTGTTCAACAGGCTTGTGAGAAGAATTGGCAGACTCCTCCTCTTCTCTCATTGCAGTTATATCCTATCCAGATGTCATGAAACACCATGCTACCCTCTGCTGAGACTAGGTGCAGGATATAACCTAGTGTTGGGGAAAAGGATGAATGGTGATCCACTGGTGACTATCTGGCAGCATTGAATCCTAGTTATACGATATTCCATTGTTGGGGTAGACGGTATCTTGTAGCTTGAGACTGGGGTCTTGAGAGATAGATGCATTGAAGGAAAGATTGCGTGTTGATGGAGCTCACGATGTCTTACTCAAAAATTAGAATGCAGAAGTAGGTGACTAGAAGTACTCACTTCATAAAATTTCAAAACAAGGACATTACACTTTGTTCTCAAGTGCACCCAAACATAAGCTGTATTGACAGTACTCAGAATGACTGGTAGCAATAAATGCGACTAGAGCATGCATAGCATGTATGGGTCTATCGGATACAGCATATCCCATCAGTAGGTCAATGCTAGGCCGAGAGAAAACACATGAACATCAAGAGTTCATGTTGCTATGCTCAGACATCAGGAGTCTGAGCACACCCCACTAGTAGGAAAGAAAGCTGGGTATGCGCACTCTGGCAAAATACAACAAAATAGTTATATCAGCAAGTCACATGATGCATGCATACTTTTCCCTCAGAGTCATTTCGGTGCTTTTCCTTTACCAGTATCAGTGCTTCGCTATACTGACATTCTGTGCATCTGATAATCCTGTAAGTGCTATATTCTATTCATATCAGGGAAAATGCTAACCATTGTCAGATTCTCACTGGGAATATTGGCCGAAAAGCTCACAAAAATCAGCGTTGGCACTTTCAGCTCTGGTGTCATCCTTGGATTATCAGGACACTCTTGATGTATCCTGATTGTGGCTTTGACTTTGGTGTCTGGCCTGCAGCTGGCTCGCTGACTCTGCATGCCTCTGGTGTCATCCATGGACTGTCAGGATACTCTTGATGTATCCTGATCATGGCTTTGCATTTGGCATCTAGCCTGCAGCTGGCTTGCTGATTCTGTGCGCTTTCTTCTATCTTTATTGCTGGATATGCAGTACAGTTGGGCGTTCCGGGAGGCAGACTTACTCAAAAATTTCAAGGGAACATCTGGTGCGTACACTGTATTTCTTCAGTTGCAGGGTCTCCTCATGTCGATTTTAGGTAGCTTAAGCTTTAACGATGGCTGTGTAGGTGCCGTCATACCTAATGAACCAATTTTTATCACTTCTCTTAAGACCAATGTCATTCCCTCCCTGCCATCATCCACAGACATCAAAATATTCCATGACAGCTGTTTTGGAGAGCATGATTGGACCAGGTTTCCCCAGTTCTATTCCGAATCCTTGTGCCATCTTGTTGCAGTCCTTCGCCAACCAAATCCAAATGATCTCCAGCACCCATACAGGGAATATGGTGCATTTTGGTGCAATGTCAACTCGGAGACTGATATCAAATGGAACGAGAGTGTTGTATGTGGTATCGGTCGACTCAACGGGAAATTCCGCCATGAACTTAGGTGAGGCTACAACCATATTGACGGTCATTGCTGGGACGTGCTCTCTAATCCTCATTACTCTTCCTCGTTCAAGGATTTATTGTCCATATTTTGCATGTGCATGGAATGCCTTCTACAGCAATTGTCAAGCATGACAATAGATTCTTTCAATATACAAGTCATGGTTGCCACCACCCAGTGTTTCTGGTTGGAACTGGTCGCTGCCTTGGATTATATGGAGGTGTACAAGCCTATCATGGATGGTCATGCGCAACATGATGCGGGACATTGGCCGGACAGACTTATGGGTGCATTCACATCTGACATGAGCACAGTTCAATTCCTCCTTTGCGGCGGGATACCTGCTTACTTCATCCAACCCCTTAGCACTTTCAACAATCAAGTCATCGAGAGAGTAGTCAAGTTAGCTCAGTCATCAGTCGACACCACGTGTCCTGATCCTGGTTATCCTATTGTTTTCACTGGCGACCCCACTGACCCCAAGAAATATTATGCGATACACACATTTCTTTGTCAATTTCAGCACTACACGCTCCCGTTCCATGGTCAGACAACTGCATCGACCCCCTCCCATAACCATGTACCAGTAGTATTGTTGTCGTCGATGGACTTGAGCCTTGTGGCTCCCAGCTCCAGGCCTGTTCGATCCAAGTCTGTTGTGGGTAGACATGAAAAGGGTGGTCCTGCATCTCAGCGGAAAAAGAAAAAGGGATCAAAAAGTGAGTACTCATTCCACTTCCTTACAGGATAACATTTTAACTATCTATAGATGTCCCCCTGGTCGTTCGCAACAAGTTTGAGGACCTGAGTGGCATATATGCTCCTCCGCCGATTCCTGCTTGGATGAACATCAATGCCCTAATCAACAAGGATCCCAAGCGCACTGCTCTTCGCATCTCTGACCCTCATGACAATCACTATTTCTTCCCTGACCCCGGCATGTTGACCTTTGCCAATGCAGTCTGCCAAAAGGCCTATTTTCAACAGCTGGATCATTGCTTTGACATCTTGGTCTATCGATCCACCACTTCCGACTTCTTGCCACTTCACCCTCAAAAATGGCATGACCTGTTGGCGCTACCACTAAAATACCATGCTGATGATATCTGTGAACAGTCCTCTACTGCTGCCGAGAGCTCCACTCAATGTCGTAAAAGGTTTGATGCAGCCAAGGAGATGTTGGGTTCCTGCATGCATGCTCACAGTGTTATAATTGATCTGATCACGCCGCCAGCCAACAGTGAAGAACCATTCAATCCTCGTCATGGCCAGGAGCTTGTATGGCAGCTCTGTGAGTTGAATTTCCGTTTTGAGCTCTTGGTTCTCGATACTTGCATTGCTCATTGTCCACCTCCAAAAGACGATCAAGACCCAGACGATGCTGTCACCAACTTTCGCATGGAGCATCAAAATCTGATTCTAGAGATTTTTCCAGAAGACTTATTGAGTTCTGTATCACTCACAAGAGTTAATGATGGCCTAGGATCAACAGATTGGAGTCACTGATATGAACACCTGTGAGTGTTACACGAAGTGATGAAGGGATGGAATACTCTGATGCCCTTCGAAGTAAAGGGTTTCATGGGGCCAACTACTGAATCTGATAACAGCTTACGTGTCGAGAAGGCCATCGCAAAGCACTACATACAGACATTCTATGATACTTTTGGACATGCACCTATCTTACCACATAGAATCTGATTGTATGTTATATTTGGTATTAAATGTAATGTAGTATACAAGAATTTTTTTTTGGCTAACAGTGTATTCATGGACCTACAGGTCATATGCACAAGTCTTTTAGGTGATGCTGCACTGCAAGGCCAGTGAATGATCATTATCCAATTTTCTTCTATATTTTCTTGTATCTTCACTTCACTACTACACTATATCGCACGAAGAATAATTTAATTTTGATTACAAAAAAGGCTTGAGTGACAACAATTATAAGAAGTCATTGCCACTGTACCTCAGGCTCATCAGAAAGATGGCCGAGATATGACATCAGAACCCCGAGGCTGTAGTGAATGTCATTTTTTCGTTGTGAACGTCATTTTTCAGGCTCAAGAAAACTTCCAATCTTCTTTGGCAGGGACTGATGATAGTTTAGAAGCCTCAGGAAGTGCACAAAAGACATTTGGAGGTGTGGTCCGAAAAAATCAAAGATGTTTGTCAGAAGGAAGGACTATACAAATGCAGGGAATGGAAGCTACACAAATGCTATGGCATTTTTCAAATAATCCCTGACCTGACCTCGCTATTCTACAGTATATAGAGCAAGGCAAATTGCACATCTTGCTTCCCATCCCTCCCATTCCCATCTCTTTCTTTCCAACTCACTGTGTCCTTAATTTTTTTTCTTTCCCATCCAATGGCAGTCCTTAATTTGTGAGTTAAATTTCTTATTTTCCATCACTCACGTGTGCTATGCCATCATCCCATCCTTCTGTCTGTCCTTCTTTCTCACTCATTTGTTCTCATATCCTCTCTCTTCTCTCCCTTATGTGTTCTGGTTGGCATTTCATCCATCGATCATTGCGTTGTAGCTCGCTCGCATCGTGTGGCTGTCTCACCACACCATGGGAGCACTTGTCCCACCATTTCTTCCCCTCTGGGCCAAGACTGGCATGACTCTGTTTGTTCCTCCCTGTTCCTCCCCTGCTGTCAGCCTGCTGTACCTGTCACTCCTGTCATGGGTGACCACACCGTCGTTAGACATCGTGTAGACCTACTTATCACCCACAGGTCGAGCTCTATGAGCAGGTATTGGGGATCCATTGTCAGCCGATATGGGATTCATCCTGGATGGAGAACGTCAGAGAGCCTCAAATAGTGGAGTGGTTTGCCCATGTACCTATGACCACTAAGGAGGGTATAGTCTGATTGCTGAAATTGAAGATTAATGATCATGCATGTAATGAATGACAAGTGTTCAACATAACCTGCAACAGCACAAAAATAGGGGAGTGAATTGCAGCAACAGTAATAAGCCTGAAGTTGATGCTTTGGCAACAGACAGCATTGGTAAAGAATGTGTTGGATAACACATGCACCATGTGATCAGGCACATTTGCCTAGTGAGTTAGGAAAAAGTTCCATGTTTGCTTAGAGGAAGGCAAACGAGTACAGAATACTACAAAAACTAGCCACTTAAATACTCTTTCATATTATTCTAGTACCTTCTTCTCCATAGTAAACCTTTACTCAGCAAGACTCGGGCTAACTGGACATCATGCCAGCTTGCACAGTCACAGGGTCATCAATATTCCACAGAATGACAAGGGGGTACCGGAACTACAGCCCGGCACACTGGTAGGTAGGTAGGTCCAGCTGGATGTCATGAAAAAAAAAGTTGACCACCATTTTGGGGGTCTAAAAATGGACTTCAAGGATAAATTTTAGAGCATACATGATACAATATATGCTACTGAGTGTGCTACTTACCTTAGGGCATCATACCTAGCCATACCAATAGTGTTTCGATAATGTGACTTGGCACGGCTCGGCATGACTCTATTCGGCTTTGGCTTCAATGGCTTCACCAAGTCATAATTTTTGATGGCTTTGAAGCTAAGTTGCCATCACACTGCTCCAGCCGGTCAAGCTATGACTTCATGCATTTCCTTTAAATGGAAGTTCATCAGTAGATTTTAGGTAACATAATATTCCAGAAATTTCGGAGAAATTGTGAGAAAAAATCAAAGTTGACCTAAAATAGCATTTCGGTATTTTTTACTCAAGTCAAAGCTCGGGCAACTTCAAGTCGCGCTAAGCCATGCCGAGCCAGTACTGTAGTGTGACTTTGCCGAAGTCATTCAGCAACATCGGTGTGACTTAGTTTGGCTTGACTGGCGTGGCGTGTGGCTTTAAGCTGAGTCATCGAAACACTACATACCAACACTCAGTCAATGCCATTGCAAAGTGGCCCTGCTGACTGGACATGATGACATTACTACATCCCATTAGAGCGCAGCCGTGATTTAGACTTATAGTGTACAGATTATGTTCAAAACACTTCCAATATTAATATCACAGCTATTTCAGGCAAAATATTCATGGAATTGAGTCAGGAGATACCCAAATTTAGCATAATGACATCATAAATGTCATGTGAAGGTAGGTAGGTCCATCGCTGGTGCATGAAATGATTTAATCGACCCACTGTCTTTTAATTTATTATTAGGACCCCCTTGCAGAATGAGCCCTCCAAAAGAAGCTATAAGTGTAAGTAATAAAGAAATAATCCATGGGAGGGCAGCATAAGTCCAAGCAAAGTTCATGATGGTTGTTGAAGCCAAGAGGTAGGTAGGTAGGGATATCAGCTGGATGCAAAATTTTGCACCCACCCCAGATTACATGCAGTCTGGAGATCCACCAACCACCTGCAGCACTGCTTTTTCCTTTCTCCTTGAAGCCAAGAATGCCAGAGTACTGTCCTACATGCATTCATATCCTCTGCAGAGATAGACTTGGACCTATCGATCTATGATATCTCTGGGCTTCTACTGATGTCACAAGCTAGCCAACCCTTTTACCTTCAAAACACTTACAGGATGTTGTAACCATGTCACTCGCCTTCCAATGTCCCTGGCAGAGATGCTACAGGCTGATAGATATAATTTCATGGAATGTCTCAGTTGTTAGAGGGAGGACAATGATGCTACTAAAAATGTAACACTTAGATCAGTGTAGATTGGTAGCTTGTCCTACAGATCTCCGAGTGCTTACTCTCCTGATTCATCTCTATATTTGTGCTGGAAATTTCAAGGTATATTAGCATAAAGCAGATGTCTGTTGGGGATATTTTCCAGTCCTTTTTCCCTGATTTGAGGACGTAAACAAGACAGAACATGTACTGATGTCATGCGGCAAAGTAGCCAGCATTGGAACGAGAATGGTATTGGTGGATAATTCAGGCTGAGAAATGTGGCTGAGAAAAAACCGTTTGTAGATTCAGCTAGGACATTATCTAGAGTTGCTTGTTAGCACATAATGAATGGAGAAAAGAAAGAGAGTCATGAACCTCTTAATCCAGTTCTATGGTGCTCAAAGATATACATACTATCATGTTCCCACCCAATCTTCTCTTCTCACACCCCAGGTATGCTGTCTTAGTGGACAAAGCATCAGACCCAACAACCAGAGATCCAGTTCTATAAGACTCCAACATGTAAAAAAAAGACAGTCTATCACAAGATTCAGTCGCATTCAAAGTGCTGCTGAAAGCAACAGACATACACTGTATATAGATGGCATATATATAACATCGAAATGGTACTTTGGATTATTTGACAGCATTCATGGAAGCTTCCTGGGTCCAATAAGGGTTCATAGCTGAGGAACTAGCACCAGGAGTTATCCACCACATTTGATGACAAAGAGTAAGGTGACATACTGAGGTTATATCCTTCATGACATTTGTAAACATCCCAGAGATAGAACTGTCCTTCACTCAGCTGGAGACAATGAATTGAGAGCGGCACTGGACCAATGTTGACCCTGAATAGAGCTAAAACAACCATGGAAATGGAAATTATGCATGAATAGGTGACAAGCTTGTACTGAAGGACAGAACTCACTATGGTAGAACTTCAGAAACCATGACAGATGGCGACTCAAGTCTGGTCAAGTAATTAAACATCTTGTAGCCAAGGATGACTGAGCAATTCCTTAGCAGACTTTCAATCTTCAGGACAAAGTTGAAGCATGCAAGAAAGCATGTCAGCAAAGAGTTCTGGCTCATCCTCAGGTTTCAAGGGAAATTGTGTTTGAACTATTGTTGTAAGATCAGTTGGTATGATATTGTATTTCAAGAATTTTCATGTACAGTGCCATCATGAAATGCTAATCAAGTGAATGCATGCAGTGCTCACCAGACATGTCGAAATACTTGGAGCTGAACTTTCCATGGACCAGAACATTGACTGTGAACATTGTCAGTCCATTGATGGAAACCATCTGCCCAAGCATATCATCATTTTGTGACCATCGAGACATTGCTTGGGGGATTGAAGAGCCAGCAATATGTCATGAGCTCAAATGCCTGGAGGATAAGATGTCATTAAACAAATCAGGAAATAGAGCAAATCAGAACATACGAGGCAACCCAAGTTCCATATGTTAACAGGCAGGCCATATAGAATCCAGAAATAAACCTCTAGTGCACATCAGGAATATGGTTGTATGAATTCATCAAAAAGACTTTCTATTTTGCTAGCTAAAAGAATATAAGAGACCATCATGAATTTCCAAGAATCACTTACCAACACCAAGCTCACTTGTGACCACTGCCGATGGCCTGAGAAAGATGCAGGACAGGTCGATTGCAGAGGTTTCTGAGGTTTCCAGTGAAGGTATACATTTCATATCCTCGACATGCAAGAGCAGATTGTCCAATTTCAAGTCTGTATTAAGTTAGCTTCAGACAAATGAGACAGAGGATTCGCTTACCAGCAACTTACCAGTATGAACTATGCTGTGTTCACGATGAAGAAAGTCCAAGCTGAGCAGCCACTGTTTGATGATTTGCTTGCATATAGGTATAGGAAACTTGTTCGGCAGCATCTTGCATGTTAGCTCTTCTAAGGACATGTCAAAGAACCTCAAGGACAAGGCAGCTATGAGTACCAAAAGAGCTAGAAAGCGAGAAGTTGTCAAGCATACAAATTATGTGCTGCTGTTCTTTTGATCCACCCTCTTCACAGACTTTCTGGAGAAGAGGAACTTCCAGCTGGGAGTATTTTCCTGCATCCGTCGAGTCTGTACTAGTGATTTTGAGGTCCAGTTATATGGCCTGGCTTAGCTGAAAAGTATATGTTGGGATTTGCAACTTCAAGCTCATACTAGAAGATTCCTGAAGCTTCAGCTTACTCATTTGTCATGATACTTGGATATAATTAGTACTTTAGGTAAAATATTCTAGATACATTCTGTAGTATATAAGGAGCTCATTCTGAGCTCTAGTAGCTAACAATTAGGTATTATTCCTACTGCAAGCCTCCCACTGCAATACTGCCAACAGTATAAAATTGCAAAAGAGGAGAATGTACACAGAGTCTTTAGGGAGCCAAATAGTGAAGTGTCATGAATTCACCCCTATTTTTTGCCTTATCTTATCTTATCTTGCCAACTCATCATTCAACTCTCATCATCATTCCTTGTACCTGATCTGCATCATTCATGACCCACCTGGTCACACTGCTCACATGCATGATCCATCTGATGATCCTTAGATCAGATCATGCTTCTACAAGCCTGACCCTCCTTTACCCAGTCATGCTTCTTAAGGTTGACTGTGTGCACTTAGTGGAGTATGAAGGCTCTGCCATACAGTTACAGAAGACAGTGCCATATGGGCACTAGTCTTCTTACTCGCAGGGAAGCTTCTCCCATACCAGGTGCCATATGATACAGAAGACAGTGATGCATTGGGACAGTATACACTAGTAAACACTGTAATGTATTTTAAGGAGCCTCACTGTGGTCTTACACCCCAGCTTTGGCTAAAGTTATACACTCCTAACTTTTCATGCAGAAACTCCCTGTTTCATGCCTAAGAACTATCATTCCTGACCTAGTGATTGCAACACCCTTCATCACACTGAATCACTGAATGCAAGTGACAGTTTGGAGGCAAACATTGTACAATCCAAGTTAGTGTGTTACATGGAGTGAGTTCTGAAGCCTTCACCTAATCAACATGTGATGGAATATTGTTTGTTGAGAATGTCTCCTTCTCTGTCAGGATACAGAAGTTCCGGAGGCATCAGAGAAGATTTCCAGGTAGTCTGGATGTGAGAAAGTGACAAATGCTAGACAGCATATACGTTGATGGGGAAACGCAGCGAAGATGAAAAATGATCACCACAATCGGACTGAGCTGGATATTACTGAAGCCATTGTCGATTTGCCACTATCATCACTGTTATTGTATTACACCTGGTTTGTTGTGCACTGTCCTCTCATTAAATCCTTTTTCATACCTCTGCCATTACTTCAATTAAGTCTTGTCTCCAATGGTTTCCCTGCCCCAGGCCTCTCTTGTTGTTCTTTCCACTGTGTATGAAGGAAGAGTTTGCATTGGAGGCTCGTTCCTTTCTTGGACAGGTGTACGTGTAGACTAGTATTTAAATTTCTGGTCTTAGTATTGAAAACATCTATCTCTTAGGAGATATGAATTCCAAAGATGGCATGTGCACTTGGGCTCATTGACTTTGTATCTCCCACTATATGTGCCGTCACCACTGATTCCTCTGACACAACTCACAATGGGAAGTACGATTATACTACAGGAGCATTACAGCTTATTCAGATCATCTTTGTTTGAGTAAACAGGTATGCTCTTTGATGATTTCAGATGTGTAGTCTGTGTATAATGCTTACCTCATGGCCAAGAGCTGTAAACGAGTTTTTTCTCATTGCCTTCACACTGCAATCTTTTCAAGCTCGCTTTCAGTTCTCAGCAGCCATTATGCACACAAGCTGCATGCTCTGCAAGATAAGAACATCTTTGCAGAATTAATGAGGGGCTTGCTTTTTACCTGTCAAATGGAAAGGATCCTGGTCATGTTGCTCAGATGTTTTGCAGTTGGTTGAGTGCATGTGTTTTTTTCCCTTCTTATATTTCCACACACTGACTGGAGCAAACAGAGGTTATTTTAGATGAGATAAAGGATGCTGTCCATGCATTTACACATATGAGTCACACTGGCATGTAGTACCGCAGGAGAAACAAGATATCCTAGCTTCAGGTAAGCTGCCCTACTCTAACATTATCTCTCTTTCTGATCTTTCTTCTCGAAGGCAAATCGATCATTGAATGAACCTTATTTGTCAGATTTCACAATGACAGAGAGGATTCATAGACAGAGAGGTACAAGGCAGTGTTCAGCCCCAGAGGGAATGCCAGTCTGGAGATTTTGTCCACAGGATTGGTCAACACTCAATTCTGCATGTCTGCCAGTAAGCTAAACATTGAATGTCATTCATTGTGAACTGACCTTCAGCTGTGTGTGGAACATGTCAATGTGCCCCTCCCCCTTGGATTCGTGTCAGTCCGCTCAGCCTGTGGTCGATTATCATTGGTATAGCCCAGGGCTGCAATTTCTTGGTTGGCATCCTCCTGAAATGGCCATGTGCGATTAAACCAACAATGATTTCCACCATCACTATTATCCAGGTTGGTTGTCTACATACCTAACACCTCTCTAAGCACATCAAAATAGTGAACCACCACTTCAGCCCAACGATGGATACTTCTGATAGTGGGTACATCAGTCTTCCATTTGTCCACATGCAAATCCTCCCTTTGACCATTTTTCTGTCTCAAACAGAGAAGGTCCAACCACACATACTCTGCACCCATTTTGAGGAGGCCTTCCTGGATGGTATCCAGGTTGGCACCTTTTGGAATGGGCACAGGCCATTTCCGTCCATTGATGGCAGTGATCACCTTGACACAATCCTGACAACATGTTCTCACATATGAAATTGCCCACGGTTCCTCCAAGGTGAAGCAGTATGGTACTACTCAGTTGCTGTGGAGATCCCAGATACATCAGGGCAGCATTACAGTATGTATTTGATTTTTAGTGAGTACAAGTTGCCACATTTCTTGGTACTCTGTTTGAAGTTTGAATATGACATCTTCAATGGTCATCTAGTCTGCATACTATCTCAGATGGAGAAGGCCATATGCGGTACCAAAATCATAATTGGCTGAAATGCAGAATTCAAGAAATGACAATAAGGATGGCATGGCAAGTGTATATGATGTTCTAAGGATGTCATTTAGCTGATGTAAAAGCCTGTCTCTCACCAGGCTGATGCAGAAATTGTCTGCACAAGAGGATAGTATCACGAGCATTTTGCCTGTCAGTGTTGGTATCAACAGAAATCCAGTTGATGATTAGTTGGTGTCGGTACATTGACATGCATGTAACACATTCACACATGTAATTTTGCGAATTCTAGGAATGCAAACATGTGTGTGCCCTGTGAATAATATTAGAGTGCATGTAAGGCATAGAGCACTACACACTGAGGCAGAAAGCACTATAATAAAAATAATATGAGTAGAGCATGTGGCTTAGACTTAGAGCGGCACACTTGTGTCATTTAAGTGTGCAGTCTCAGTGCTTATACACACACACTGTGCCCTCCTCTGCAATGTATCAATCAATTAAATTCACTGAAGATAATATATTGAAGGTGCTTTGCACTGCATTGATTTATGACATGTGAACCCTGCCGATCTGACAATCACCAAGAAATGTCATTCTGAACGAAGAATCAACAAGTCCAAATACTCTAAGGAGTTCTCGGCTGGAGAGAAATAAAACCCACTGCCCATATGAAATATTAAACTAGAAATGGTTGCGCAGCAACCAATAAAATAAAACTCACTCACTAGATAAGTTGCGTGGCACTGTAATTAAATCCATGGAGCCAATAAGAAGACACATGCCGCATGGCATGACAAGGCTAGGCCTTGTCAAGTGGAGAAAACAGCAGTAGCATGCATGCCGACATGGAGTGCTGAGTAAAATAATGATTACTATCACCATGGCTGACACAGCATGCAAGAGAAGGGAGTCCGAGATGGAGCATTGTCTATTTTCAGTATTTACATTTCATATAGTTAATAGTAAATATAAGAGCAGTAGTTACAGGTAGTTAGCAAGTTTTCAGACCCCTGCAGTTGTACTATGAAGTAGCGTGCTTAGTGTATGATGAAAGGATTTTATTTGAAGCTTCAAGTGAGAGAATAGAATATTGTATTGTGATAACTTGAATGTGCATTTGTATTTTTGGAACTTGTTTGTGAATTCTGAGTTATTGCAAGTGGCAGAGGTTCGAACCCTTTGGCTTGTCAGTAATCTCTGAGGTTTTTGGTTTATTCCCAAGTGGCATAGGTTCAAACCCTGTGGCTTGTGGACATGTTTTCTATGTTGGTGTATCTCTGGATTGCATAGGTTAGAACCCTGTGGATCTACGAACAGGTTTTGAAGTGTTTTCTGCTTGGAGTGCAAGGCTTTAAGTCATGTTAAGGGTATTGTGAAATGTTGTGGACACTTGTGTGTTGCACGCGATGTATTTTGAGGGTTATACATTCTTGTAGAACGTTTGGGGGCTTGCAAAATAATATTTTTGCCTTGAGGCCAAGCGATTCTGTCACTCACCTCCTGTTCCAAAAGCATTTGGACTCAGAAGATTGTTATATTGCTAAGCACGCTATATTATATTGTAATGTGCAAGGATTCTTTCAATACTACTGCTATTGTGTGCTTGTATTGCACATCACCCCTGAACTACTGAGGGTTTGTGTGTGTGTGAGTGTGAGTGTGTTGTGTTAGTGTTATATACGCTAGTGCATTTCTAGCTTGGTGCGCACAGAGCCTCTTCAACATAAGGAGCAATCCATGGCAATTTTCCTGTGTTGTAGGTAAAGTACTAGTAAGTGCCTGTACTAATAATAGATGTATGGTACTGTACATTATGTGACCTCGGCAGGGGACAGCATGTACTCATCTTGGCAAGGTTCAGCAAAGAGCTCACACCAACATGAGTGTGACCTCATTATGATTGCATCAGTGATGGCATGTGCATACCATTTTGGGAAGGGAGGGCATATTTGGGACATGGTGTGTATACTATGCCAAGCATATACAGCATGGTAATCAATATGTTTTAGATTTTTGGCCTTTGATCTTTTTTTAAAATTACACTTTTATGAACTCCAAATCAGACAGGAAAACATGTTGCAAATTTTGCTGTCACTGGTCTGTCACTCTGCCTCATCTTGTTTCTTGACCACCACCATTGCCATTGCTGTTGCTCCCATCCCTCTCCATCCCCCATCTCCTGCTTCTTCCATCCTTTGCCCTTCAACACATGCAGGCAATGACTGACAGTGATGACAAGATGGATGTGCACAAGCATCCTCCTTATGCTATAGTGTTACAATGGCCCTTTATGACTAATACTGCATTTCAAAATTGCTGTGTCATCTTTGTTTATTTACTATTTTCCTTTTGATCATTTTTCCTCACTCATGTATTGTTTGTTGGCTGTGCAGTACTGTACATGTCACCCTTGATGTCTGCAATATCAGTTTTTTTGTCCTGTGCTCCTTTGAATTGTTATAATCATATAGGAACATATCAATGCAACCAGAATAGGATGGCAAAGCTTCCATATTTCGATCTTTCAGGTTTAGTTATCCGAATGTTACGATTTTGCTTATTTCTTTTTCTTTTCCCTCAGCACTTATCTTTATCTTATCAGCCTATCTAAATGCTCAGACAGTTCACATGCTGTTACCAGACAACTATACTCCTGACACTGCAACACACAGTCTATGCATGCCTCTTGTTGCTTCATGCATGATTACCATTTCATAGTGTACTATTATTAGCATACCACATATATATTTAAGGAGCCCTCAGCTTCAGCTAAGGTTTAATCTATCCAACTGCCTATAACTCCAACTTTGTGACTATCTAAGTCTAGTTACCTGCTCATTACTCAGCATTGTGAACAAGGACTTAGCCAAATCACTGAACATGAGTGACAGCCCTTATTTGACATTGTTTGATGAGTTGGTGGCTAACATTTAGCTGAAGCTTGCTTCAAACATTCCTCACCTACCATGGTGATCAACATACATGTCCCTTACCTTTACACAAACCATTTCTATTGCAACCACCTTCAAGCTATTCTGTGCAGGAGCTCTGTTGTACTGCACAGGCCAAATCTTGTCCTGTTGGCAATGCAGAAACAACACACGACTCCCAATCCAAAACATTCCCCATCTCCCTGTCCTGTACTACATATTCCCATATCCACACACCCAAGTGATCAATCAGCCTATGCTACATGATGGTTGACCAATCACACCCATCCTGACCCCATACTCCAGTCGATTCAGATCCATCAACATTGCAGAGTCTGTACCAGGATCCAACCACTCAAGTGCAGGTTTCACACCTTTTGCTTGCCAGCCAGAGCTCCCAAGTGAGTCAGGAGTAGAAGAAGAAAGGGATTTGGTCAATCTTTACTGATGCAGTGATGCCATCAAAGACATCATCCTGATGACATGGACAGAAGCAACCTTTGACCCCTGTGCCAGAGACTTCCACCAAGCAGCTCTCTCAGACACTAGCGAGGTCAGAGGCACTAAGGATCCCTCCAATTCTGAAGGAGGATCTTACCATCCTTGGTCCCCATCCCCAGCATCCTCCTCAACAATTCACCCAGAGAGAGCTGGATCAAGAGTGGTTTGAGCAGATCAACTCATTTATGGGCCTGAAGGACCCCTCTACCAACCCTTCATCATACCCCAATGACAAACTCCCTCATCAGAGCCCTACATGCCACCCACTTCTCCAACCCCCAAATCTGAAAGATAGCAAGCAGTCTGGGACTGGATCAAGGCAAACAATGACCCTCTCCCCCTTCTGGAGCCAGAAAGACTCAATGCAGGTGGACCTGCTTATTCACTCTATGCCAATCCCCTTAGCCCAGGCTTGCCTGTTCCAGGAGAGCAACTCTTTGCTGCAGAGAATCGCAGAATTACAGACCAGCATGTGATTGCCAGTCCCCGAGTCCCTTTCGAGTGACCCTGGACTAGAGTCCACCTTATGCTCATCAAGTCCAGACTCAGTATACAGTCTGCCAGGCTCCTCAATGAAGTCAATGCCCATCTGGAGTCCAGAAGAGAAGCAGCAGCACTTGTGAGACATGTCAGAGACTGGGAGCATGAGCAGTGGCACCATGAGTTCTATGGGACTGCCGTCCCTAATGATGTTCCTGATTCAGAGTGGGTCACAAAAAGTAACCATTCTGAGGCCCAATTCTACCAAATGAGGTATGGAGTTGGAGAACCTGAAGAAGTCACCAACACCCATGGGCATCCCCTATATGAACCCTTCCACAGAAGAATGCCCATCCTTGATGATGATGAGGCCCAAAGATATGCAGCAGCATACTCCTGTCCAAATGCCCCAAATCCATATGCCAATGAGACTGCCCATTTCCATAACATTCGAGGAGGTAATGAGGCAGGTCTATCAGGTTCTCACTAGGAGCATCCCCATGGTACCCATTCTCTTGTGGGGCTTAACATGGGATGAGCTGTTTGACCACATAGTACATAGTATTAGAGTAGACCCCTACTGGTTGTTAACAGATGCAGGAATCAATTAGGCCAGGGCCTGTACTATTGGAGATCGAGTCTTCATGGACAATGTGCTCAAAGTAGAAGGTTATCATTGAACAGCAATGGTATAGGAACCTAATTCATGCTGATGAGCTGTGCCTGGCAGGGTGACCATATCAGCAACTGGTGCCAATGCCACTCAACCCAGAGTTTGTAATCCAGGCTGGAGCACAAGGAGCTGATGACAGCTATGTAGACATTGAAATGGCTGGAACCTCGATGAAGAAACCGTCCCAGTCACTGCCACCCCTGCTGTCTATTAACTGAAATACCCAACTGGAAAGATATCCCAGCCTCCACCACAACTTCAATCTACACTCAATGCTGAGACCACCAAACCCCCTGCTACCACCTGTACCACTGGAATCACCACCCCAAACACCACCCTGGTGGATGCTTGCTAAAGGAGACCAGAGCCCATGGGGCTCTGTCAAGCCCAAACTCATCAATGAGCCCAAATGGTTCAATGGGAAGGCCTCTGACATAAAGAGGTTCTTCAACAAATGCGAGGCCTACTTCAAGGTCTTTGCCAACCACTTCACAATGAATGCTGCCAGGCACAATCTCTACCATGTTGGCTTCATCACTTCCTTGTTTGACAGGGCAGCTTGACAATGGTGGGACCAGCAGGAGCACCTGTACAGAGACCCCATATGAGGCCACTGGTGATATCCACTGTGGTATGAATTCTGCACCTGCATCACCAGCCGCTTCTGAGAAGTAGCAGAACTGGCCATCAAGCAACAAAAGTGGAAGAAATTGCAACAGGCAGATTTCAGATTGGCTGTTGAATTCTTCACCCACTTTGAAGAGTTGGCCATAGAGTGTGATGAGTTTGGGGATGAGAAATCCATGTTCACCACAGTTGAGGATGTGGTATGACCCACTGTCAAGAACACCATCATGCACAGGGACAATGAATGTCTCATGACATATGCTGAATGGAAGATCTGCATCAAATGTATTGACACCAATTACTGTTACAATAATAAGTCCTCCCAGAATAACAATTCCAGTTGAGGCAACCAAAACACTGGAGAGTCATCGGAAAAAGCCAGCAGCTCTGGGAATTCTAGTGACAGTCACGATTTGACTGGCACAACATATGGCAGGGCAGGGCAACCCATGGAGATCAATGAGCTGAAGAAGAATTGGCTCTGCTTCTGGTGCAGTTTACCTGACCACATGTCCTGTGACAATAAGTGTCCAACTGACAAGTCTAAGTGAAAGAAGGTGAAGATACTGCCAAAGAAGAAGGCCAATGCTGCCTGACTATGACAGTTACTGGTGGAAGCTGAGAAGGAAGAAGCAAATGTGTTAGCCACCAACTCAACCAAACAATATCAAACAAGAGCCATCACTTGTGTTTGGTGATTTGGTGTACTTATAAGTACTGCTGGCTTGTAGAGTGAGTGACAAACTTAGATAGTCTGGAAGTTGGAGTTGAAGTTGGGTAGATTAAACCTTAGCTGAAGCTGGGGCTTAAGGCCACAGCTGAGGCTCCTTATATACATACAGACATGACTAATAATAGTACACTATGAGTAGTAACCATGTGTGAAACAAAGAAGAGCGTTCATTGTCCATGTGTTGCAGTACAATAGGTATAGTTGTCCAGTAATGATGTGTGAACTGTCCAAGCACTTAACTGTGCTGATAAGATAAAGATGAGTGCTAGAGAAAGAAAAAGAAAGAAAAAGAGAAATCATAACATCACCCCCTCCTTAAGACTCATTCATCCTGAATGATCTGTCAGAACCTGTTTCCCAATCCTCACATACCTTTTGTAGATAGTCTACATCAGTTTCATCTTCTGAAGGTACCAGAATATTGGTGAATTTTTGCTGTTTGATGGTTGTGGGTGTCTGCTGGTGAATGAGTTTGAGTCAGAGAGTAGTTCCTGTCTCAACTGTTCTTCTTATATCTTGGCACATTTCTTGGCATATGCTTTGAATTCTGCATTGCTCTTGGTTTGCCCATCAGATCCTTCATTTCTGGTGGAGGCCCTGGCATCTCCTACTGCATTGATGTTGTCGGCCACTGATTGAGTGATCTCTTCTATTGAGTGGTTACAGAATGAGGAGTGTGAAAAATTCAATGGTGGATAGACCGTTTGGCTGTCTGATCCATCATGTGTGCCAATGCCCCATAGTAATTCTTGGAAACCATCTGGGATGTCCCACAGGTCTGGAATCTTGGGGTCTTTTTCACCAGTGTGGGATTTGAGAATGTTGAGCTGTTCCTCATACTCCTTTACCAGTTCCTCAGTGTTTGCAAGGTGGGATCGTGTTACCCACAAATTTTTCTTGGTTGGGTATCCTTTCCACTTGATTAAATAGTCGGTGACTGTCTTGTGATTTTGTCCCCTTCCCACTGTTCATTCTCTTTCATTTATGATCTTCTGTACTTCATACTCCTCTTCTTCACTGATTAGATCAGGGGGTGGTCATTCCTCTCTGGGTTGTATGTCAAAGACATGTTCTATGTATGGGGTGAGAAGAGACTCATTGAACCAGTTGTGAATTTTCCAGGTTGAAGGTAATTTGAGCTCATAGGAGGAAGCACCCTTTTTTGCAATAACAGGGAAAGGTCCCAGACATCGAGTGGCAAGTTTTTTAGCAAGTACTGGTAGCTTTAGGTTTGTGGCATCTAGCCATACCTTCTCTCTAATTTTGTACTCCCTGGTCTTCTTCACATGCTGGTCATGGGTTTTCTTTATTTTGTCTGCCACCTTTTCTAATGCCCTTTTTGCTTGTTCCTGCATTTTCTGCAATTCTGTGAAATACTGGTTGGCCACAGGTATCTCTCCTTTGGTTGGAGCAACTGGTATAGCTTGCCTGTCTCTCTCAAAGTTCACTTTGTATGGTGAATACCCAGTGGCAGAGTGTCACCAATTGTTATGTGCAAAGGCAGCCAATGACAGCCAGTTGCTCCAATTGTCCTGTCATCCATTGACGAAAAGCTTAAGATACTGCTTGATTTCCTGATTTACCCACTCAGTTTGTCCATCTGTCTGAGGGTGACAGGTGGTCAAGGGATTTCCTTGTACTTGAATAAGGTCATAGGATTCCTTCATGAATTTGGAGATGAATACAGAACCTCAGTCTGATATGATCTTTTTAGGTATTACCCTATATGGCATATAGACTCACTCCAATAACAATTTGGTGTATCCAAGGAAAGTAAGGGTTTTGGTGCAAGGAATCAGGATGATAGTTTTGGACAGGTGATCTACTATGACTAGTATCGCATCCAAGCCTTTTGATTCTGGTAATTTGGTGATCATATCTACTGAAATATGCTTCCAGAGAGTGCTGGGTATCGCATTTGGGTGTAAGGGTGTTTTCTTGCTCTGTGTAACGAGCATGCCGACGGAAACCCGACTTCCACTCAATCCAACAAACCACAGCCCGGAATCCTACGGATCCCGATTCCCACTTTCTATTTCATATTCCATTTCATATTCCTTTTTATATTTCACTTCTCCATTACAATTTATCAATAGCCCGACATCGGTAGCGAACATGTCATCGGACCCCATCGGCTACCGACCGGTAGAATACATCCTCCGACAACCCTAGAATGTAGACCACTCCGAGTAGGAACTAGATCGGACTCCTAACTAGTATATAAGCCTTAGAATTACACTGTAGATACTCAGTTCGAATATCAACTTGGTTCAGCCCAATCTCTCTCTCTGACTCTAAGTCTAACTCTCGTTCTCCAGGCTGCGGAACTCCGATCCGTTGGACTTATCTTTTACCTCGTCTCTGCCACTCCGCGGACTTCCGTCCGTACCCATCTTAGGGCTTCGGCTCAGGGGTGATGTTGCTAATAGCTTCGCCTACACCCGATGCATCCCGCGGCATTCCGCTATGTGCACTTACTGCCGCAATCCTATTGGCACGATCCTAACACTCTGTTGGCTAATCTTGGTTCACTCACAGGCTTCACAGCCCTGAACATATGTTTCAACCTCCTGGCATGTCTTTGGCCACCAGTAATCCTGCAGAACAAGTTCCTTGGTTTTTTCAATTTCTGGATGTCTCATGGTCACATGGTCATGACAGTGAGCAATAATTCTTCCTTGGAGCTTGTGATCCTCTGGCACATATATCCTCCCATCATACTTGAGCAGTTCCCCATCTCTTTCTATCACTTTTTTGTGATTTAGAGAGGTCATAATGCCAGCATCCCACTTCCTGGCATCTTTGGTGTGATGGGCAATTTTGTGATGAATTTCTCCTGGGTTTGGTAAGATCAGGGCTCTGAACATCTCAGGTTTCAACAGGACTATGTCCTTATTATTTTCTTTTCCTTGTTCATGGTTAGCTCTTTGGCTGAGAAGGTCAGCTTTGCAATTCTGAGCTTCTGGCTTATGGTGAAGTGTGAATTGGTATTCCATGAGTTCAGTTACCCATTGAGCTTGTCAGCAGTTAAGCTTCTGTGGCTTTCAGAAGTATTGTAGATTGAAGTGATCTGTCCATATCTCGAAGTCTTCCTTAGCACCCATTAGGTAGTGTCACCAATCTTCTAAGGTGATCATGATGGCCAAAAGTTCTTTGTCATAGATTTCATAATTCTTTTCCATGGCAGAAAGAGATTTTAACATGAAAGCTACTGGCCACCATTTTTCTTGTTGCTCCTGTGATAACACCACTCCTATCGCACCATCACTTGAATCCACTTCTACTCAGAACCTTCCTTGGTCAAGAGGAATGGCCAGTACTACCTTCTCTTGGAATTGGCATTTGATCTCCTTGAATGCTTTTTCCTGTGCTTCTCCCCACTTCCATTCTACTTTCCCAGTAAGCATTGTCAGCAGTTTGACATGTTTGCTGTAATGCCGTATGAAGTGTCAGTAAA